GCCTGAATTTGCTATGGATACCAGGCTGGCCTTGAACTCACAGAGATCCACCTGCCTCTGCCTCCCAAGTGCTAGGATTAAAAGTAGTCATCACCATGCCTGGCTCATTTTTTATATTTTAAATTTTAGTTTGTTTTTGTTTTTGTGTGTATGTGCATATGTGAGTGCACTTGTATATGAATGCATGGGGAGGGTAGATTTCTTGGATATCAGTCCTCAGCTTTCCACATTGTTCTGCTTGGTGGGGGGTATGTTTGTCTTTTTGTTTTGAGACAAGGTCTCAAAAAATGCAGCCATAGCTAGTCATCACCATGCCTGGCTCATTTTTTATATTTTAAATTTTAGTTTGTTTTTGTTTTTGTGTGTATGTGCATATGTGAGTGCACTTGTATATGAATGCATGGGGAGGGTAGATTTCTTGGATATCAGTCCTCAGCTTTCCACATTGTTCTGCTTGGTGGGGGGTATGTTTGTCTTTTTGTTTTGAGACAAGGTCTCAAAAAATGCAGCCATAGCTGGCCTAGAGCTCCCTGTGTAGACCAGGCTGGCCTTTAACTCAGAAATCTACCCAGTCTGCCTTCAGAAAGCTAGTATTAAAGGTGTGTGCCACTATGCTCAGCCACGTTCTTTTGGATAGGGTCTATCACTGGCCTGTAACTTGCCAGTTAGTCTAGGTGGGCTGGCCAGGGAGGCCCAGAGATGCTCCTGTCTCTACTTCCTTGTGCTGGGATTACTAGTGTACATCATTACCCCTGGTTTTTTTCATGTGGTTGCTGGGGATGGAACTCCCATCCTGTTTGGTTTTTTTGTGGTTTTATTTGGTTTTCTTTTTGAGACCAGGGTCTTCTTGCCTCAGTGTCCTGAGCACCGAATGCCAGGATCACATATATAGTCAGCAAGCCTGACTCTCCTTGGCATTTTTTGCTAGGCAATGCAGAGCAAAAGCTGTTTGTACAGCATCTGTGTGGTAGTAGTTGATCAAGAGTCTACAGCAGGATTGTGCAGGTCCCATGCAAATGCTGTGCTGGTGTACCTGAGGGACTGGAGCATCTATGGATTTTGATGTCTGGGGGTGCTGGGACTAGTCCTTGTAAATACCAACTGGCAACTGTATCCCTTTCTGTTCATCCCTAGTGGTTTCCTGGGTGGTCATTGGATGCCTCTGCAGCTGACTGCTCTTGGGTTTGCCTTGTCCTCATTGTCCTGTCCATTCAGAAGGTGCCTGCAGTTCAAGGACCAAGCCAGGGCTTGAGGGGCCTCTGAGGATTCAGCTTGCTGAATGGGAGGCCACTTTCTCAGCAGAGCTGAGGGGTCAAAAAGCTTTGACTGCTTTTGTGTGGTTGGTTTTATTATTTTGGTAGCAAAGCCCAGGAACAACCAGGAATTTTTGTTGTTGGTTAAACTGAAAGTAACTCCTGGGCTGACGAGATGGCTTAGCAGGTAAAAGATGCTTGCTGCCAAGCCAATGACTTGAGTTTGATCCCCTGAACTCACATGGTAGAAGGAAGGAAAGAGCTGACATCCACAGTTGTCTCTGACCTAATGTGTGTGTGTGTATACACACACACACACACACACACACACACACACACACGTTGTAACAAAAAAAATTATTCATATGCGTGGTAGGAAATCTGAGAAATAGAAGAGGGAAACAAGTAAAAGCCATGGCCACTCAGCTCTGTAAGTCAGAGTGCCACTGCATTTTGGTGTGTTTTCTACGTTTGTTATTACTGGGCTGGGGTAACACTGCTCCCCCCTCTTAAGATAATGTCTCTCTGTTGACTTGAACTTCTAGACTCAGACTATCCTCTGGCCCCAGCCTCCCAAATAGCTGAGACCATATGTACCTGCCATTGTGCCTGCCCAAAGAAAACAGATAAAAATTCTTCCTCAGGCTTGGTGGCTTCTGCTTGACATCCCAGCATTCAGTAAGCTGAGGCAGTGAGACTGCAAAATGAAATGCTGTCTCAAAATCTCAAGGAGCAAACCAACATGAGAAAGATAACAAAATTCCTCTGTAACTCTCTCAACGAGAGATTGCTTTAGGTGTGTCCCTGGGAGCATGTGGCACCTACAGAAGCTTTTGCCAGAGTTGTGGGTGAATACACACAAAGGCCAGGTGTGGTAACATATGTCTATAACTATAGCCCTTTGAGACTGAGGCAAGAGGATTTCTGCAAGTTTGAGGCCAGCCTGGGCTACATAGTGAGTTGCAGGCCGTCCCAGAATGCTGAGACCCTGTCTTTATTTTTTTCTTTTATGTATATATGTGTATTGTGTGCATGCATGTACGTGCACCCATGTCGTGCAGTGCCCTCAGAGGGCAGAAGAGGTTGTTGGATCCCCTGGAACTGGAGTTACAGACAATTGTTAATTGCTGTGTGGGTGTTGGGATTCGAACCCATGTCTTCTGCAAGAACAGCCAGGGCTCTTAACCACTGAGCCATCTCTCCAGCCCCAAGACCCTGTCTTTAAAATAAAAAAGCTGGGTGTAGTGGTGCACGCCTTTAATCCCAGCACTCGGGAGGCAGAGGCAGGCAGATCTCTCTGAGTTCAAGGCCAGCATGGTCCACATAGTGAGTTCCAGGACAGCTGGGGCTACAGGGAGACCCTTTCTCACTGGGGCTGCAGAGAGACCCTTTCTAAAAAATACCAAAAAAGAAAAAGAAAAAAAAAGCTGTGGGGTTTAAAGTGTATAACTGTAGTCTTGATGTATGGAAGTAGAGGATCAGGAGTTCAAGGCTAGCTTTAGCTAAATAGCAAGTTTGAGGCCAGCCTTGGCTACATGAGACCTTGTCTTAAAAATAGACAAAAACGGGCTAGAGAGTTGACTCAGTGGTTAAGAGCACTGTCTACTCTTTCAGAGGACCCAGGTTCAATTCCCCGCACCCATGTTGACTAACTCCAGTTCCAGGGGAATCTCACGCCTTCTTCTGTCCTCTGTGGGCATTGCACGACACAGGTGCACTTATATACATGCAGGCAGTACACTCATACACGTAAAATAAAAATAATATTTTTTTAAAAACCCTTAAAAGTAGACAAAAGCAAACCATAAAATGTGCACAGGCCCTGCTTGGAGAATGCTGTAATACGTGATTAGTAACAAGCCAGGTCATTAATTAACCAGTAGGACTTATGCTGTGTAGAAGGAGCATGAGCCATACTGCTAGGGGCCATGGAGATGGCAGAGCAAGCCAAGTGTGTGTAGTATTACTCTCCACAGCTTCCCAGGTGGAAGCCTGCTCCCTACACTTAGCAGTTGTCTCCTGACATCTTTGGGGGCTGTAATCTGGGTCCCTCTAAGCAAGAGAAACAGGATGGATGCTGGACCAGGAAGGTCAACACAGCAGCCCTGTCCCTGGTGCTGTGCCCTCCTCTCCAGCTCACCTTGCACCCTTGCTTTGGTTCTAGACTCACTGATGCACATAACTCCTGCATCTCCAACAAGTTCGCCAATGATGGCAGCTTTTTGCAGCAGTTTCTGAAGTTGCAGAAGGCACAGACAAGCACAGGTGAGTGCAACTGACCCTCCCCTCAATCTTCTGGATCCCCTGGCACATTGGAGGTAACAGGTTCCACCTCAGACCATTGAGTGGCCTCAATGTACCTGTGCATGTAGCAGATTCCAGGGGCAAGGTGAACCTGTTCTCATTGTTCCCCCACAGGGGTGACTAGGGGGAAAGCATAGGACACATGGCCCTCCCACTCTTTCCCCACAAGGATGACAGATACTACCACGAGAGTCAGGGCCATAGCCAAACATATCTCAGACCGGGAATGGACAGAGGGCAGGGTGTGGAATTCCCAGTGTAGCCAGGTTGTATTCCAGCACCAAGCTGGCCTGAAATGCCCAGGTTGTCAGATGATGTATTCATATCTCCTGTACCTAGTGTAGGACAGGCAGACATCCTAGAGATGACAGACCCCCTTATAATTGGGTTTACTGAGTGCCACCTCTAGGCAAGGGAGATTGGACTGAGCCATTGTGCCTTGCCCCTGGCACTCTCCCTCATCCTCCTCGACACAGCCTGTGGTCCTTACTGACTCTGCTGCCATGTTGGTTGCCAAAATGTGTTCTCTCTACCCAGACCCACAAACTTGATGTCCTGTCATCTTTACCTCTGACCCTTTTATTTAGTAATGAAAACACCTGGGAAATGGAGGCCTCCCATCCCTGTCTTAGGAGCCTGCTGGTGACAGGTTGTGTCTGACAGCCCTGTGGTCATCCTATCTTGTGTGGCACTGTTTGACAAGGTTCAGAGTAGATTACAGGCTCTCTCTCTCGTATACCTTTCTGTTTGATGGACCAAATTCTTTTTGATCTAGAAGATGCCTACAGCTCTGGCTGAGTTCAGCTTCTGAAGCTCTATGTGTAGCTGGGCACCCCATTTACACTGAGAAACCATGGCTTTGGACAATAAGGGCAGTGTCTAGAGCAGGCCTGTTGGCCCAGTCACACCACAGTGCTGCTCCCCAGGGAACTCGGCTCCCTGCCTTACCATGGGCACAGTTGTATCCAAAGGGTTATTTTTTTGCAGTGTTGGGGATTGAACATAGGTCCTTAGGTGTGCTTAGCAACCACTTCACCACTGAGCTGCACCCCAGCCCACTTTTAGCTTTTAATTTTGAGGTGGGCTCTCATACATTACCCAGGCTGGCCATGAACTCTCAATCTTCCTGCCACAATTTCTTGAATATCTGGGATCACAGATTTGTACCACCAGGCCCAAGTCACCTCTGAGTTCTTGGGAGAATGGGGCTTGGGAGGGAGCTGAGCACCAGGCCCTCTGTGCACCCCAGCTTCTCCAGTTTTCCCTGCTGGTTGGAAGCTCAGGCTCAGGGCACACCTGACTCACAGGACTGTAGAACATGACCAGCTACACAGCCCAGGTGGAGCTTGCTGTCACTGGACAAGACTAAAGCCGACTTCTAACCTTTGTCAGAGGAAGATAAATTGTTTATCCTCAGAACCTCAGGTACAATTGAGAGAGGTCATCACCTGGGATATAGGGGCACAATTCTTACCCAGAAGATGGCTCTGGCTCTTAAGTATGGTATACCAGAGGTCTGTCCAGCCAGAGCTGCTGCCTGCAGGGCCTGACTTGTCCTCAAGCTGGAACCCCTGAAAACTCGTTTACCCCAAGCCTCAGTCTATCCTCCCTGGCCTAGAGGTGGCACTCAGTAAAACCCCTGTGTCCTGACTGATCATTAGAGGTCCTGATCATCTCTAGAATGCCTGACCCCCTCACTAGTCACAGCAGACCCAAAGGTAAAGGTGGCCACCTACTGAGTGGTTGAGGACCCCATCCCCAGGTGTGCCCACAGCAGTACTCCTTGCAAACCTTCAATGTGTGTCTTCTCTCTTCCAACCCCAGACCCACCCCCTAGCACCTCACCCAGCACACCCACGCCCAGCACCTTGAAGAGGCCTCTGCTGCTCAGTAAGCGGACAGGCCTGGTTATGGGCAGCCCACTGGGCCCTGTGAAGAACTATTCACATGCTAAGCAGCTGCCCGTTGCACACCGCCCAAGTGTCTTCCAGTCTCCAGATGAAGAAGAGGAGGAGGACTATGAGCAGTGGCTAGAGATCAAAGGTATGTTGAAGGACAGCCACGTCTCCTGCTGACCATATGGCTCCTGCAGGCACAAGTGTGACTGGAGTCTGGCACAAGGTGCTTGTGGCTGGGTTCTGTATCCCACAGGTGCCTAGGGAGGCCATTGGGTTTGAGCAGAGACTGGAAAGTTTTGAACAGCCTTGCCAAGGAGAGCACCTGCTGTGCTGGGAGCAGGGGTGCTTTCATGGCCCATCATGGAAGGCTTTCCTAGACAGGGTGCATATCACCCAAGGCAGGAACTTTGTCTTCCCAGCCACGTGAGCACCTTGAGTCCCTGAGGCCCAGAAGACTGCTCCTCTGTATGGGTACCTGGCTATCTTCACAGTTTGGGCCAGAGGTTCACAGCATACAGATTGAAGGATGTACACCTGCCTGGGGGAGGTAGTCTCTGGTTGGGGGTGGCTGTGACTCTCTTCGTGACTCCACCCTCACCTCGTATAGAGTAGGGGTCTGTGACAGCCGGACAGCGTGGACAGCTGGGTGCATAGTCTCACCAGCCTGACACGGGCAGACTGATCATATAGTTATGCCTCATCTGTCTCCTTGTTCTGAATGAGCATTCACCAGAGCAGATGGGAGGCCAGCATGACCCCAGCTTGCAGTCAGTGTGAGCTGGCGAGGGTGTGCCTTCCTAGGTGCTCTGTCCTTGCTGGTGCTCTGTGGGAGCCTAACCCATCTCAAGGCCTTAGCACCTGTTTTGGATACCTGTTGATGTTGCCCTCAAACACATCTGCTTCTGTAGATATTGATGATGTAAGAGGAGGGTGAAGCTGATAGAAAGGCACAGAATGCCTTAGCCCTCACTGGATCCTCCTTAGGTCATATGTACCTCTGTTCTTTCTGTCCCACTCCTGTGCTTCCCGCCAACCCAAACAACAAAGAATTATAAAATTAGCCAAAGGTTCAGCACCTACCACAATTGCCATATACCAGCTGACGATGAAAAATTTTCCTCTTCACTCATAAAACAACATGATCCACACAATAGCTGACAGACTCAGCCTTAGGAACAAACTAGAGAGAAATGCAAAAACATGTTCCATCTGGCTCAAACAGGCAGCCAGTATACCTATAAAAAGGCATCCTTGGGCTGGGGTTCAGTTGGTAGAGCTTAGCATGCAAGGAGCTCTTGGTTCCATCCCTAGCTCTGCATGAACCAGGTAGAGTTATGCATGCCTTTAATCCCAGCACTTGGGAGGTAGTTGCAGGAGAATTAAAAATTCAAGGCCAGCCTCTGCTATATAGCTAGTTCAAGGCTAGCCTGAGGTGCATGTTAAAAACAAACAACCCATAACCCAAACCCCATTTCTTGTTGTCTTGTTTTGATTAAAAAAAAATTTTAATTAATTAAATTTTTTTGAGACAGAGTCTCCCTGTAGCCCCAGCTGGCCTAGAACTTGCTATGTAGACCAGGCTGGCCTTGAACGCACAGAGATCCGCCTACCTCTGCCTCCCAAGTGCTGGGACTAAAGTCCTGTGCCACCATGCCCAGCTTTATTTTTATTTTCTGTGTATAAGTGTATTGCTTGCATGTTAATATAAGTGCACCTGTGTCGTGCAATGCTCATGGAGGTCAGAAAAGGCCATTGGATTTCCCTGGAAATGGAGTTAGCTGTTAGTCACCATGTGGATGCTGGGAATCAAACCTGGGTCTTCTGCAAGAGCAGACAGTGCTCTTAATTGCTGAATCATCTCTCCAGACTTTTGTTTTGATTTTTTGAGACAGGGTCTCACTCTGTAGCTCTGCTGGCCTGGAACTCATTATGTAGATTAGCACCGAAAACCCCATATTCTTTTTTTTTTTTTCTTTGTCTTTTTGAAGCAGTGTCTCCCTGTAGCCCCAGCTATCCTGGAACTCACTATGTAGACCAGGCTGGCCTTGAACTCACAGAGATCCGCCTGCCTCTGCCTCTGCCTCCCAAGTGCTGGGACTACAGGTGTGCGCCACCACACCTGGCTTACCCCATATTCTTAATTGCTCTGAGATAATACTTGAGCACCAGGCAATGGGTGCTTTGGTGCCCAATGGCTGCCAGCACTATCCCAGTAATACAAACCTGGACTACTTGGAGAAATGGCTGCCTGTGGGTATACGAAGGTGCAGGAGGTATAGGAGATAATCCTAGAGTGCTGTGTCACCGATGGTGAGGGGACACATCAGAGACTCCTGGAGTCATGTTCAGAGTGCTTGGGAGCCATCTTGAAAAAGACTGCACCAGCAGCTGTTTGGATAACATTAATTAGAGTATTCAAATCAGAGCAAGTAATGGGTTTTTAAAGAAGAATTGGTTGGGGCTAGGGAGATAGCTCAGTAAAAGATTGATCTTGTGTTTGTAAACATGAAGCTCCCTAGAACCTACATTTGAAGAGAAAAAAAAAAAAAGCTAGACATGGTGCACATGCTTATTCCAGTGCTGCTGCGGAGGCAGAGACAGGTGGGTCCCTGGGGCTTACTGGTAGCCAGCCTAGCCTACTTGATGAGTTTCAGGTCACTGAAAGACCCTGACTCAAAAAAAGATGGGTACTTGTACCTGCATACACATACCCAAAAGAATTTGTCATCTTTGAAGGACAAAATGGAATAGATGTATTAAACTGAAAACTGGTAAATAAAAAAGTTGGAGTTGAGTAGATGACTTGGTGGTTAAGAGTACATATTGATCTTGCAGAGGACCTGCATTTGGTTCCCAGCACCCATACTGGGTAGCTCACAGCTGTGTTTAACTCTAGCTCCAGTGCCTCCAAGGGCACTGCACTCAATGTGCACATAACGTGCATACATATGCATAATTAAAAACAAGAAACTGGGCATGGTTGCACATGCCTTTAATCCCATCACTTGGGAAGGTGTATCTCTTTGACACTGAGGCCAGCCTGGTCTACATAGCAAGTACCAGACTAGCTGGGGCTACAGGGAGACCTTGTCTGGAAAAAATAATAACAAAATAAAACAGAAAGTCTTCAAGAGAGTTAAACACCCCATCACACCGCCACTCACACACACAGACTAAAGAGAATGGATACACTTCCAGTGGCCTATTCCAGCCTGGGGATAGCTTGCCGGCCAGAGGCCCTGACACTGTCCCCTGCCAGTGTCTGAGACTGTGGAGCCTCACTGTCCCTTCACAGAGTTATGCATCTTTCGCTCCTCTTTTCCCTTGTTGCGGTCTGTAGAGAGAGTGTACCTAGTGACTGTTGGGTGAGTGAGTTGGAGCCCCGTACTGACAGCCTCCTTAAAGTTTCACCCCCAGAGGGAGCTGAGACTCGGCGAGTGATAGAGAAGCTGGCCCGCTTTGTGGCAGAAGGAGGCCCGGAGCTAGAGAAAGTAGCTATGGAGGACTACAAGGATAACCCGGCCTTCACGTGAGTGTCGCTGGGATAGGGCTGTGCTGCTCGCACATTCAGTGTGACCATATATAGATATGTGTGAAGTTGTCACTCTACTGCGGTCTGGAGCCTGGGGAGCTCAAGGTGGGACCCAGAGCCTTTTACATGCCAAGCAAGAGCTCTGCCACTGAACCCAAAAGAAGATTGCTGTTGTTTTGGGGGAAGTGCTGTGGGTGGACCCCAGAGTCTTGCACACACTAGGCCAGTGCTCTGCCACTGAGCACTTTATAAATCACATCAGAGGTCACCAGAGGCTCCCCTGTGGCACCCAGACAGACTTTTGGCACTGCCAAGGCCTCTCTGCTTTTGTGTGGTGGAACCCCAGGCTCACCCACCACTGAAACTCATTCTTTCAATGTTCCAAATCTCCTCTCCAGATTTTTGCACGATAAGAATAGCAGGGAATTCCTGTACTACAGAAAGAAGGTGGCAGAGATCAGGAAGGAATCCCAGAAGCCACAGGCAGCTACCCAGAAAGGTAAGTGGGCAGAGGGGGCAGGAAGCTGTGGGGAGGGGGAACCAAGACCTGTGCCCTTATGGGCAGCAGGGGTTGCCCTGTGGGTGGGCCAGCATACCATCTTGCAGGTCCTCCTGGGGCCTAGCTAAAGCCTGAGCACCTGGCCTGCCTCAGGTGTGTAGGACTGTGGTGAATTAAGGACTGCCTAGAGGCTGGGTACTGTCCATATGCTCAGCTGAGCATGGGAAAGGGCCAAAGGAGTATTCACTTGTTGTTTTGACAAGTGCTCATGAGCCCCAGTGTCATAAGGGCATTGGGGGCCCATCAGGTCAAGACAGATATGATGCCTGATGCCAAATGGGAGGCCTGGGAAAAGACAGTGACAACTGGATGGGGTAGGTCTTGGGGTCAGGGCTCTGGTGGGCAGCAGAAGTCTGATGTGTAGAAACAGCAGAGTCACTGCAGACCTCTGCTCTGACCTTCTCCCCAGGAGAGAAGGGCGAGGCCCCTCCAGTGCCCTGTGACCTTTGGGGTGGGAATGGGAGTGGAGGTGGGGTTGTATAGTTGTGATGTTTCTCTGGCTTTGGTCCCTGTAGTAATCTGATTCCCATTTGCCTGTCTCTCTTTGCACCATTCCTAAGACAAGCCCCGCTTGCTCTCGAGGGGCTCTTAGCAGGAATTAGGCTGTTGGGTGTGGTGAGTTGAGCTCAGTACTGACAGCCTGCTTAAAGTTTCACCCCCAGAGGATGAAGAGGCCAAGAACCTTGCAGAAAAGTTGGCCAGGTTCATAGCAGACGGGGGTCCCGAGGTTGAGACTATCGCCCTGCAGAACAACCGTGAGAACCAGGCCTTCAGGTAAGGTGCATTCATCTCCTTTGAGCTGCTCTGTCCAAATGCAGGTGGAAACAGTTGAGGGAGAAAAGGTTTGTTTGGGCTCGTGGTTTTGGGAGCTCACAGTCATCATGGAGAGGAAGGCAGGGTGGAGTCTGTGGTATATGGCTGGGCCTTCTGGAGTCTCCAGTGGCTAGGAAGAAAAGGGCACCAGGACCAGTGGCCAGACTATGGCCTACAGAGGCCCACCCCTGATAGTCCCACTTCCTGAAGGCTCCACAGCCTCCTAAAGTAATACCACCTACTAGGGACCAGGTGGTCGGAACATGAACCTGTGGGACATTTGAAGGTTCAGTCCATTGAGGGGCTAGCCCTGGCCATGGCCCCTGTCAGTGAAGGCACGGGGCTCTATCTATGCTCAAAAGCAGAGATTCTAGTCTTGGGAGCTTCTGACCCCAGAGTCTACCTGTGACCCTCATTGATATGTCCCTTGAATGGTGTCTGAGCAGGCATGCTGGGTTTTTGGACCTCTATCTCCCAGGTGTCTTTATGGACTAGCATTTGCTGCACTCCCTGTGACAGACAGCAGCTGCTGGCAGGCTGGGCTCAAGACTCATAGAAGGGTCTGTATTGGGTATATTCTTGGGAGTCTCCCCTTTATGTTGAGGAGGCAGTAGGGAACAGGGAGCCTCAGGGTATATTGGAGTGCCTCCAGACTGTGTTCCTGTGTTCTGAACCCAAAAAGGGACAGATGACAAGTGGGCCCACCATGAGCTGACGCCCCAGCCCTGAGGCTCTGACTTACTCTGCCATTCAGGCATATGGAAACTGCTCTGTGGTGGGGAGGGCAGTGCTGCTGTCAGGCTGGGAAGGGCCAGCAGAATCTAACTATACAACCCAAGCTAGCCTACAGGTCATACTTCTCCTACCTCAGGCTCCTGAGTGCTGGGGTGACAGGCCTGTGCTACACACAAAGCCTATTAGTCTTTTTTTAAAAAATATTTTATTTATGATTTTTATTTTATGTGTATGCATGTATTGCCTGCATGTAGATAAGTGCACCCATGTCATGCAGTACCCATAGAGGACAGAAGAGACTGTCAGATCACCTGGAACTGGAGCTACAGATAGTTGTTAGCTGCCATGTGGGTGCTGGGATTCGAACCCGGGTCTTCTACAAGAACAGTCAGTGTTCTTAACTGCTGAGCCATCTCTTCAGCCCCTAGTCTTTTATGAAGTTACCTAATTGAGGGGCTGACCTCTGTGGGCACCTGCTCTCACAGTCACACGTTTAAAAATAAATCAAGCTGGGCATGGTGGCACACGCCTTTAGTCCTAACACTTGGGAGGCAGAGGCAGGCAGATCTCTGTGAGTTTGAGGTCACCCTGGTCTATACAGTTCCAGGCCAGCTGGGACTACAGAGAGACCCTGTCTCAAAAACACCCCCCCCCCAAAAAAAAATCCAAAAAATCTTGGGGAAAAAAAAGTTACCTAATTGAACTAATTTAAATAAGAACTTACTGACTCTCATGGTCTATTTGCAATGGTGGTCTGTGTGCCACAGGACTAGTGGGCAGAGTGATGGGACTTTATTCTGGGCTCCTGCCACTCAGGGTCAGGCTGTGCCCTAGAAAGCATATCAAGTGTGTCAGTTGAATACTGGTTGGGGTCCTACTACACACCTTTAATAGCAATGGCAGATGGATCTCTGTGGATCCAAGGCCAGCTTAGTCTGCATAGTGAGTTCTAGGCCACCTGGGGCTACAGGGAGACCCTGTCTCAAAAAACAAAAACAGAAACAAAAACAGTGTTTACGGTGATGACACAGCAATAATGAGCTAGTATGGTGGCACCTGCCTGAAATCCCAATACTCAGAAGCTGAGGCAAGAGGATCAAAGCCAGCCTGGGCTACATAGCAAGACCCTGCCTCATAAAACAAAAATGTTAGCAACAGATCTAATGTCCAGTCTTAGAGACTAAACATCTGCAAGGCTGTTAGAAGGCACACAGGCCTTCTAGAGGTAAGGAAACTGAGGCAAGGAGGCTGTTCTGGGAAGCATGCTCCTAGTATTGGAAGTATCTCTGTCCATTTCTGGATGCTTCCAGTGTTCTGAGATGGACAGTTTATAGAAGAAGGCAGTTGCATTGGCTCATGGTTCTACAGTCAGTGGTAGTCCATCTAGTGCTGGCCTCATGCTACAGCTACCTTTAGCACAGTGCAAGTGTGAGTGGTGCTACAGAGCAGGAGGGGCTTTCTTCACCCTTACTCCTGTTTTTGTTTGGTGGCAAATAGTCCAGGCTGGCCTTGAACTCTTTGACCTTCCTGCCTCAGTCTTTCAAGTGCTGGGATCCCGGGTATGCACTTCTATACCCAGCTTACTTTTGTCTAGTTTTGTTTTGTTATAATTATTTTTGTTATTTATTATTATTAATTTTTTTTTGGTCTTTTGAGACAGGGTCTGCCTGTAGCCCCAGCTGTCCCGGAACTGTGTAGACCAGGCTGGCCTTGAACTCACAGAGATCTGCATGCCTCTGCCTCCCAAGTACTGGGATTAAAGGCGTGCGCCACCATGCCTGGCCAATTATTTATTTTTATTATTTTTATGTGTATGAGTATATATGCATGTATGTAAGTACACCCATACATGCAATATCCATGGAGGGCAGAGAAGAGCATCAGGTCTCCTGGAACTGGAGTTACAGACAGTTGTTAGCTGTAATGTGTATCCTGGGAACTGAACCTGGATCCTCTACAAGAGCAGCCAGTGCTCTTAACTACTGAGCCATCTCTCCAGCCCATTTTGTTTGTTTTAATTTTATGTATTTATTTTTATTTTATGTATATGAATGTATTGCCTGCGTGTGTGTAAGTCCACCTGTGTCGTGCAATGCCCAGGGAGGTTAGAAGAGGGTGTTGAATTCCCCCTGACATTGAATTCCCCCTAACAGATGGTTGTTAGCCACCATGTGGGAATTGAACCCTGGTCCTCTGTAAGAGCATTCAGTGCTCTTAACTGCTGAGCCGTCTCTCCAGCCATCTCTCCTCTCCAGTTTTGAGAGAGGATCTTAGCATGTAGCTCTGGAACTCACTGTGTATACAGAGCCACCAGCCTCTGCTTCCTGAGTGCTTGGATTGAAAGTATGCACCGCCACTCCTGGCCTTGACTTTTCTTACCAGCAGTTCTCACTTGGTCATGCTTATACTGTAACCCAGGAATACAAAGGAGATGCTACCACCCACCCTCCTCAGGTCCCAGATGTTAGTTAGCAAGTTCCTTCTAGCCATCTCCTGAGGCTCAGCTGGAAACAGACTTGAGTCTGTGGGGCTCTCTGGTGGGTCTCTTGTTTACATGTAGGCGTAATCTACAACATCTGACCCTTCTCAGCAGCTCCTGTGTCTTCTAGTGCCCTGTCCAAGCATTTTAGCAGCCACATGGTGAAAATATTGACAGGAAAACTGCCTCTCTGTGGAGTGGGTACAGACTCTGGTGGTTACTTCTAAACAGCACAGGATAGCTAGCTGCATTTGAACGTGTCAGGCATTCTGATTCTCTGCCCTGGGGAGGGTGTGTGCAGGCTACTTGCAAATCCTGCACCATTTAAAGGAGACTGAGCATCCTAGAGTTTGGCAGGAACAGGGGTTCTGGGCAGTCTCTTAGGAACCAAGGGCCCATGGTCTCATCATCTGGGCACAGCTCCAGGTTCCCTAGCACAGGTCCAGCCCCTCAGCCAGGGTCAAGTCCCCTGCACCAAGCCAAATTTACTCCATTCTGCCCTGTAGGGAATATGGGAGGCACGTTTCATGATATGTCTAGACAGAAGCAAGCAGTGGAAAACTGAGGCCTCTGCCACATCAGTCAAGCTGTGTCCCCAGCTGACTAGGGACAAAGTGATCTTTGGCTTTCAGGGAAGTAGGAGTTTCTGCCCCTGAACCACCTACCTTTAAGGTGGGCTAGAACCCAGCTCATATCTTTCTTCACTGTCAGTCCACTGGGGTAGTGGAGACATGGCTGGGTTTGGAGAGGGGTGTCATGGTGTGAGGTCCCTGTGTCTGCTGGGTTGGGGAGGCTCTGAAGTAGCCTTTGATGTCCCTGGAAGCAGGAGTGTCTATAACTGATGGGGGCCTGATAGGTGGGACAGACTTGCAGAGGTCCCTAACTGAGACCTGACTGGACAGTGACCCTGGTGACCCTGAGTGCATATTGCCTATCTGTTGTCGCCACAGTAGCAGGGCCAAGGCTCAGCCCAGCTAATGGTGTCCCCTCTCTTTCCTTTGTAGTTTTCTATATGAACCCAACAGCCAAGTGTACAAATACTACCGGCAAAAACTGGAGGAGTTCCGGAAAGCCAAGGCAGGCTCCACGGGCATCCTCCTTGCTCCTGCTCCTGACCCCAGCCTTCGATGCAAGTCCACCCCTGAGGCCCTGCCAGGGGCTGTGCCCTCTGCCACCACCTGCCCCACCCCAGTGACCCCCACGCATGCTGTCACCCCTACTCCAGCCATCCCTGGAAAGCCCAACACTACAGCCACTGTGAAGAGGAAGCGGAAGAGCCGGTGGGGGCCCGAAGAGGATAAGGTGGACCTGCCACCTGCTGAGTTGGCACAGAAGGATGTAGATGCCTCACCTTCACCTCTCTCAGGTAGGCCATCTTGTCCTGTTGTTCATCTAAGGGGTCATTTCTGAACATGGACCCCAATCTCACTCCCTCCTTTGTCTGGGAAAATTTCATGTCCCAGGCCAGCCTGGTTAACAGGACAAGACTTTGTCTCAAAACACATATATGCTGGTAGACTTCTTTTTTTTTTGAGACAGCCTCATGTAGCTAAGGATATTTTGTGACTTTTTTGAGACAGGGTCTCACTAAATGTTCCTGGCTGGCCTTGAACTCATAGAGATCTGCCTGCCTCTGCCTCCCAAGTGCTGGGATTAAAGGCGTGTGCCACCACGCCTGGCTCTTTGTTAATTTTTAAAAAAATTTTATGTGTTTCTGAGTGTTTTGCTTGCATGTGTGTAATTGTGCCTGTGGATACCAGAAGAGTATCAGATCCTCTGGAACTGGGGTTAGGGATGGCTGCCATGTGAGTGTTAGGAACTAAACCTGGGTTCTCTGCAAGAGCTTTAACCATGAGCCATCTCTCCAGCACCACTGCTGCCACCCCCACCCCCCCTTTTTGAGACAAGGTCTCACGTTGCCAAGGCTGGTCTCAAACAGAGATTGGCCTTGAACTCCTGATCTTCCTGCCTCTGTGTCGCAATTGCTCGAATGACAGGCATGCGCTACCATACCTGGATTGGGTTTTCCACATTTAAGTGGCAGAGGGGAGCATCTACATCTTGCTCCTCAGTTTGTGGAGAAGGTGTTTACTTTTACCACTCCGTGTATTAGCTATAGACTTTCTCTGTTTTATTTGTTGGTGTGGTTTGAGGGATCGAGTGGTCTCAAGTGTGGTGGGCAAGTACACTAGCACCGTGGCCTTAGCCCCCTTATTGATGTTCCATCTAGGTTTTGTATCCTTTGTTAAAAGTGCTATCCTGCTGCAGGGCATGGTGATATACACCTTTAGTCTCAGCACTTGGGAGGCAGAATCAGGTGGATCTCTGTGAGATTCAGGTCAGCCAGGGCTACATAGTGAGACCCTGATTTTTTTTTGTTTAAGTTGTGATTTGGTATTTAGCTATCAGTTATTGTATTACAAAGCCCTGGGTTCTGTCCCCGGCAACATGTGAACACACACATGTCTGAAAGTGGTGTCTAGCCATTACTGCAGGACAGTCTTATTTCTCCATCAGTGCTGTGAGTTCATGCTTTATGTATTTTGGAGGCTCATTTTATTTTTAATTAAGAAAATGGTTTTTTTGGCCAGGCATGGTGGAGCACGCCTTTAATCCCAGCACTCAGGAGGCTGAGGCAGGTGGATCTCTGTGAGTTTAAGGCCAGCCTGGTCTATATTGGGAGTTCCAGGACAGCCCTATCTCTCAAAATACACATATAAAAACTGTTTTTGGATTTTTTTAAATTTTTGTTTTTTGTATGTGAGTGTTTTGCCCTCATGTATCTAAGTGCACCCCTGTGCAATGCCTGTGGAGAGCAGAAGAGGGCATCAGGTCTCCTGGAACCAGAGTTATGGGCAGTCTTGTAAGTGCTGGGAACTGAACCCAGTTTTCTGCAAGAGCAGCTAGTGCTCTTAATGCTAAGCCATCTCTTCGGCATATTTATTTGTCTTTGAGACAGGTCTCCCAGCAGGCCCTAACTGGGCTAGACCTCACTATATCGACCATGCTGGCCATGAACTCAGAGATCCACTTGCCTCTGCCTCTGGAGTGCTGGGATTAAAGGCATAGGCCACCATACCCAGCCTTTTATTTTTCTTTGTGTGTCTGTGTGAGTGGATGAGGTCAGAGGATAATCCAAGAGAGGCGGTTCTCCTTCTACCATGTGTGTCCTAGGGATCCAATTAAGGTCATCAGGGTTGGTGACAGGCACCTTCACCCATTGAGCCACTGTGGGGGCTCCTGTTCTGGACACTCTTGCTGGATGCATTTATTACTGTGTCTTCCTCTGTTGAGGGCCTTTTTTCCTGATGTCACACTCATTTTGACCTCTTGACTGCCTTTGACCAACGCTCTTGTGGCCACCCCAGCTCTCTCAGTTGCTGTTTCCACAGTGTCATTTCCACCCTTGGGCTCTCACCCTGTTTCTGTCTATGGATCTACAGCCAGCCTCTGTTCAAGGTCACATGGTTTGGTCCCGTTTTCTGTCCTAGGCCTTTGAAGCCAGAGGCTTCATAGAAATTTCAGGAACTAGTTGAGGAGAGGCACTGTGGCAGCTACTATCAGCTTTGCAGAGTCACCTCTGACCTTTCCTTCACACAGTGTTTGAGGGGCAGCTGACCTGTGGCCTGTCTTTCATTTCCTGCCATAAGCCCACATAGGTGGGCTTATGTGGGGGTAGTCTTCTGTCATCTATAGCCTTCCCCAGTGTGACTGGAGCACCATTGCTAGGTACAGTCACTCAGTGTGGTCCCCTATGAAGGCTGTTCTCCCAGTTACTGGGCTGGCCTCTGGACAGCCCCATCTAGCTATGAGGGTCATTTTCTGGTCCCATGGCCCTCAGAGATTCTAGTTTAAAAGGAAATCTCCCAGACTGTTTTATTTATTTTGTTATTTATTTTTGAAATAGGGTTTCCCTGTAGCCCCATCTAGCCTGGAACTTGCTATGTAGACTAGGTTGGCCTTGGTCTCATTGAGAGCCACCTGCCTTTGCTTCCCAAACTGCTGGGATTAAAGGCATGTGCTATCATGCCCAGCCTTCTCAGGCTCTTGACAATGGCTTTAGCCAGGGTCTAAGGCCTAGGATCTGCCTGCCACTCAAAGATGAGTGCTTCTGCCTTTCACAGAGGAGGCTGAGCCCCAGGGCTTCTCTGACATGGGTACCCCAGCACCAAAGTGTCTAGCCAGACTCCTGCACTTGAGGGCACCCCCACTGTGGTCCAGAGGACCAGCACAGGCCCAGGCTCACTGGTCTGCATTGCCTTCTTTGAACCTGGACAAACAACACATGTCCATGGGTGAGGTGGCCTGAAGAGAAGGGAGTTGCTCAGATCCCAGCCTCATGGGTCCCCTCAGCCCTGGGTACCTCTACAAGTCCTCAAGCAAAGATCAGGAGTGCATTGGGAGCCCTGGAGCAAGGGTTTACAGGGTGTGTATATGTGTGTATGGTACTGAGGGTGAAACCCAGAGCTTCACATATGTTGGCAAACACTGTAGTCCTGAGCCTCCCTCCTGACCTTCATGGTAGCTCTGAAGAGCATAGCCCCAGCCCAGCTGACCCTGGGACTTGGCTCTTTCCACCCTCCCAGAGGGCTCTCTGCATCCCTTAGACCCCCCTCCCATACTACCCCAGCACCTGGCTTCCCTCCCCAGGAGTGATGGCTTCTGCTGGCCAGATGGGCCATCACAGCACCTTCCCATGAATCAGTTCAGTTCCAGCCAAGTTCTGAAGCTGATGCCAAATTAAATGTCAGCAGCTTGAGGATAAGTGGCTGCCTTCCCCCAAAGGAGATAAGGGAGCCACATGGCAGACTCTATTGCCAGACCCAGTCCTGTGTTTGTCTGTGCTGGGTAGCATGCATGTGCTTCATAGACATACAGCTCAGCTCCTGTCTATGGCTTTGCCCAGGCCCTTGCCAGTTAGCTGTGTGGTGTTATGTCAGGACTCCACCTTCTCTGATCCCTAGTATCCACACCTATGGTTAGGGGGTTGCGGATCCCTCCTGAGGAGATGAACCAGCAGCACACATCTCAGTGCCCAAGACAGTGAACCCCTAGGCTGACATCCAGGGCAGGAGGGCATCCATGGTGCAGTGGCAGAGTTAATGCCAGATACCCGAGACCCCAGGGCCATGACTAGGGCCTGCCTGTCACTCCCTGACTGTTCATGTCATCTCTTTCCAGTTCAGGACCTCAAGGGGCTTGGCTATGAGAAGGGGAAGCCCGTGGGACTGGTGGGTGTCACAGAGCTGTCCGATGCCCAAAAGAAGCAGCTGAAGGAACAGCAGGAGGTAAGGCCACAGGACAGCCAGTAGAGGGTCACCTCTACCCTGATGTGCAGGGCCACAGATTTGTCCATGTGTGGGAGCCTGTTGGAGGAGCTCTGGGTCCTCAGCCTTCCTTAGGGCAGTCCTCAAGGCTTGTGGGCTAGCCCTGTCAGGAGTTCCTTCCCTTCCCCTTCCTAGCCCCCTCTTTAGTCTAGTACAGGGTGGTCCTACTCTGCACAGGGACTTAATGGTCTGAGGGCCTTTGGTGTCTGTCTTGTCTTAGTGAGGGGCCCAGCTGGGTCAATGGGGATGGAAGCGGAGTCTAATGCCAGACCCAATCCTTTGTGTATCTGTGCCAGATAGCATGCATGCTTCCTCCAGGCCTGTAGCCTGTGACACCAGCTGCCTAGCAGGGCCAGCCACCCTTGCTCTATGGCTGAGGTGTCTCCGCACTGTGTGCCCTCGCCCTACCTTGCTCTCCAGGGCAAGGGGGAGTTTCACTAGGTCCCCACCATTCCATTGGCCACAGATGCAGCAGATGTACGACATGATCATGCAGCACAAGCGCGCCATGCAGGATATGCAGCTGCTGTGGGAGAAGGCACTGCAGCAGCACCAGCATGGCTATGACAGTGACGAGGAGGTGGACAGTGAGCTGGGCACCTGGGAGCATCAGCTACGACGCATGGAGATGGACAAGACACGGGGTGTGCGGGACACACAGGGCGGGCGAACCCCACTCACCTCGGAAAACACCCCCCCATTTGCCCTGCCTGACAGTGATACGTGGTCCAGTGTCTCCACCTCTTCTGCCTCAGTTTCCTTGGTGGTGGAGGACAAGCCACTGGCCTGTGTTGCTGGCCCAGAAGGGGCATTGGTATCACCTGCTACCTCATCCTGGCTTGCTTACCTTTCCTTCCTCTCTGGCCAGAGTGGGCTGAGCAGCTGACAAAGATGGGCCGGGGCAAGCACTTCATTGGGGATTTCCTGCCTCCTGATGAGCTGGAGAAGTTCATGGAGACCTTCAAGGCCCTGAAGGTGAGCCTCACCCCAGGCCTGAAGCAGCTACACCTTATGCTTGGTCAGGGGGCACCATCTGATAGGGAATTAACAAACAGCTGAGCTGCTGCCTCAGAAGCATTTCCCGACTGCACAGAAATCACAGTCATACCTCCAGTGGTCTCCTGCAGATACCTCCAGAGTTTTTATTTTTTTTCCTTTCTCTCTTCTGTGGATTTTTCAAGGTGGTCTCTCTATGTAGCCCTAGCTGGTCTAGAACTTACATATAGATCAGGCTGGCCTCAAACTCTGACCCTCCTCCTCCTCCTAAGTGCTAGAAGGCACTGCCATGCCTGGCCAGAGCAGAGCTCAGTGTGCTGCCCCTACTGTGGTGGCCCCAAGAATCAGTGGGCTGCTGTGGTGTGAATTGGGTTTTCTTTGTACCCCATAGCCTCATCCAATGAAGTGGTGACCTCATCACCCACATCAGTATTTAGCATTCTGTATGGCAAACTGCTCTTGAGCTGGGCATTTGGAACAGACTCTTAAGAACATGAGCTAGTCTTAGCCGATAAGTTGTTAAATGTCCTGATAGACGGGGCTTGTGTAACTTGTCACCTTGCTCCTTTTGATTTGGCTGCCAGGAAGCTCAACTCCTTGATCTGTTTTTATGAAGTCTGCACTGGTGACAGTAGGGACAGGCAGCCTCAGTCTGGCCCAAAGCCAAAGGCAGTGTGACAGGTTTGGGAGCCAGACTTGGGGCCCAAGGATGGCTGCAGCCCTGCTGTCTGACAATTTCCTCCTTTCTCCTGTTGTAGGAGGGCCGAGAGCCAGACTACTCGGAGTACAAGGAGTTCAAGCTGACAGTGGAGAACATCGGCTACCAGATGCTCATGAAGATGGGCTGGAAGGAGGGCGAGGGCCTGGGCACCGAGGGCCAGGGCATCAAGAACCCTGTCAACAAGTGAGTGCTAAGGAGGGGACTTGCAGGGAGCACACAGATTGGCAAGCCCTCTAGGACCCTCTGATAGAGCCGGAAGTTTCCAGAAACTATTGGGGACTGGAGCCTTGCGTCTGGCCTCTGACAGCACTGTTTGGGTGGACCCCGGGGACGTGTCCTCTGTCTCCTCTCCCTTCTCTCCCTCCTCTTCCTCTCCCTCCTCTGCCTCCTCCTCCCGGCGTGGCTTACCCCCCAGCTCAAGCTTAGCCCCCAATTAGTGGGCATCAGCCCTGACCTAGCCAGGCTGGTCCCTTACCCCAGGGCCCACCCATAGCCCCTTCCCATCACCCCAGCCTGGACCCTGCTCACACCCACTGGCCTCCCACAGGGGTGCCACCACGGTGGATGGTGCTGGCTTTGGCATTGACCGACCAGCTGAGCTCTCTAAGGAAGATGATGAGTACGAGGCCTTCCGAAAGAGGATGATGCTGGCCTACCGCTTCCGGCCCAACCCCTTGGTGCGTGCCCACAGCTCCTCTGCTGATGCTCAGCTCACTTCAGGGAGTGGGAGGTGACAGTAGGGCCCCTCCTTCAACCCCCAGTGGATATACTGCCTGGAAGGTTCTGGAGAGGGAGGATCTGCAGCTTCCCACTAATGCTGTCACTTTTTCCATCTTTTTGGCCTCTCACAGAACAACCCCAGACGGCCGTACTACTGAGCATTCTGAGAACACAAGCCTACTTCAGATTAGCCATCCTTGGACTACAGAATGTTCTGGCCTGAACTGCTGCCTGTCCTGTTGTCACAAGTGTTGTGCTATGTATTAAAAGTCCCAGTGCTCATTGCCCCAGCAGCCATCTCTCTGCCATCACCTAAAATTCCTTTGTTCCCCATAGTCGGGCTGGTGGGATGGGATGTTACCCTGAAGGCTCCTAGGTGCCTCTGGGCTCCTGGGGCTCCATTTGTGGGGTCCCCACTAAACCTGGGCTGTGGGTGACAGGGGACCACAGCTCTTCCCATAGGAGACAAAGGCAACCAGACACAGTGACCAGGCCTGGGCACATCAGTGGAGTCCTCCAGCTGGGAGGTGCTGCAAGAGGGTAGGGTGGGGCCCCTGACAGCCTCCGGCATGCTGTGGGCCTCACCCCAATAGGCTCCCTCCCACCAAAAGCCCCCTCTGCTGATGACTGCAGCCTTAGCTAGAAAGCCAGTCCCTGCGGATGCAGCCTGAGACTGGTCTCACTCTGCAGTGACTGCTGACAGCAGTGGCAGCTACCAGAAAGAGCCAGGACTTAGGAGACCAACAGAGACTCCTCAGGGACCAGGGGTGGCTGGCCTCTGGATGTTGGGCCACAGCAGGGCAAGGGATGATCCTGGTGGCCTTAGCCCAGGTATCCACATGGAGGCTACCCAAGACCAGGGAGGGTCCTGAGTACAGGATTCAGGAGACTGGACCCTGGGACACCGTACCACCCAGCTCACCATATCGTCCATGGTGTTCTCAGTAACCTGGAGGCCTGCCAGTTGGCACAGACTATCCCAGGGAGGGGAAGGAGGGGGCTTCCAAGCACTGTTTGGTAGGGGGATGGGGGCTGGTGTATCCTGAACATTCTGGGGGAGAAGGGGGTCAAACCAGAGGCCAGAGTGAGTCCCTGAAACACCAAAATTGGGAAGCCCCTCCCAGGAATGGGGTGCATACTGCACAGCCACAAGGCCTTGACGGGGGCAAGAACCTCACTGGGGGTGACTGGACAGGTGACCTGGTAACAGCCTGCATCCCCCAGCCTATTTGTGCTGCTTCAGCTTCCTGCCTAGACTTCTCCAGCTGTTTAGACCCCTCACCAGAGCTGTGTCAATATCCCCAGCCTACCTCTGCAACCTCGCCTCTCACCACCTCCGCCTGGCTGGGCCTTCCTGTGGTCCAGCTTCACACCTGAGCCTATGACTACCAGGGCAGTGAGTTCCCTAGCTTCCTGACAGTCCCATCCAGACCCCACTCCCCCCACCCAGGGTCTCCTGCACAGGTTGGCACCCCACAACTTCATACCAACATGGGTTTACATTTGCTTGTGGTCACTTAAAGCTAAAGCCCACTGAGGTGGTATACACCTTTAATCCCAGCACTTGGGAGGCAGAGGCAGGCAAATCTCTGAGATTGAAGTCAGCCTGGTCTACATAGTTCCAGGCCAGCTGGGGCTACAGAGAGACCCCGGCCTCAAACAAGGAAAAAAACCAAGTACAGTGAAGGTCAGTCCATGCCCAAGGAGACATGGCTTCTCCATCCATGAGCACTCATGATGCTCTCTGTCCTGAGGTGGAGGGCCACAGTGGTCTGAAAATATGAAGGATTGAAAAAAAAAAATCCCAGCCGGGCATGGTGGCACACGCCTGTAATCCCAGCACTTGGGAGGCAGAGGCAGGCGGATCTCTGAGTTCAAGGCCAGCCTGGTCTACATAGTGAGTTCCAGGACAGCTGGGGCTACAGGGAGACCCTGTCTCAAAAACCGAAAAAAAAAAAAAAAAAAAAAAGTCCCTTTGCTGGGCTGGTGTGGTGACACATGGTCTTTAATCCCAGGACATGCAGAGGGAGATGGAATTTAGAACAAAGTCAGCCTGGCCCACATAGCTAGTTTCAGGCCAGCTGGGGCTACATGAAGACCCCAGTCTAAAAAAAATAACCATTGCTGGGCATGGTGAGAGGCAGATCTCTGTGAGTTCAAGGTCAGCCTGGTCTTCATTGAGAGTTCTAAGCAGCTGTGGCTACAGGGAGACTCTCTCAAAAAGACCAAAAGAATTAAAAAATGACATTTAAAAAGGGTTCCTTTTTGACTGGCAAGATGGCTCAATGGGCAAGATGACACTCTGTTCAAGCATGAGTACCTGAGTTTGAACCCCATAAAAAGCCGGGAGTGGCCAGCACTGTAGGAAACATCAGCATCACTGTGGCTCATTGATCAACCAGTCTAGCTGAATGTCAGCCCTAAGTTTAGATGGGACCATGTCTCAAAGGAAGGGAGCAAGCAGGAGTCTTCAGCACCTGTGCACATTCATGCAGGTACGTAGGAGTGCACACACACACACACACAGAGTCTAGTGAGATGGTTCAGTGGGTAAATGTGCCTGCCACCAATCCTGACAACCTGAGTTCAATCCTGGGACCCACATGATGGAAGGAGGGACCCGCCTTCCAAAAATTGCCCTCTGACTTCACATAGCACTCTCTCTCTCTCCCCTTTCTCTTTCTCTCTCTCCCCCTCTCTCCCCCCCTTTCTCTCTCTCCCCTTTCTCTCTTCCTCTCTCTCTCTCCCCCTCCCTCCCCCCCTTTCTCTCTCCCCTTTCTCTCCTTTCTCTCCCTCTCCCTCTCCCTCCCTCTCCCCCTCCCCCCCGAGGGGCGGGGCAATGGAAGGGGGAGGAACACGCCGAGACCAGGCGAGGGTGCTACGAGTGGAAACAGGAGTCAAGGGCGGGGCTACAGCAGGGTAATGACTGTAATTTTCTGGGGGCGTAGCCATGGGTGGAGGCAATGGGTGGGGCCACAGATGTGCCGCTGAGGACAGTGGGGGTGGAGTTATGAGCAGATCAAGGCCAGGGAGGCTTCTGTGAACAGAATGGGAGGTGGAGCTAGGGATGGAGGCAAGGGTCGGGGCTATGCGTGAGATGGTGGGAAGGGGCGTGGCTATATCATGCAGAGATTGAATGGGGCCTGGGGGCGGAGTTATGTGGTTAGTGGCTACAGCAGTGCACCCGCGGTAGGGCGAGCTAGAGGCGGGGGTATGTACCCTGGTATGAGAAGGGGCGTGGTTACGGTTGTGTAAAGTGGTGAGCGGTGGGGGGCGGGGCTAATGCCGGGGTGCACGGAAGGGACGTGGCTAAAGCCCAGCAGTGATTGGGGGGGCCAGGGGGCGGGGCTATGTGCCGTGGCATTGCTCGAACAGCGGCAGGGATGTGGGCGGCGCTATGACCCGGAGGGCGTGGCCTAGATGGGGCGGGGACTAAGTGGGCTGGTCCCGAGAGCTCCAGCCATCTGGACTGCTACCTGCCTCGGCCTTGCGGGGAGGGGGGAGGAAACGAGGGCGGGGGTCGCGACCTTTGCATGGGGCGGGTCCCTGGCAACCCTGAGCCCAGACGCGCCACCGTCGAGGAGCTGAGCGCCCCGGAGGCTGCGCCAGGTCTGAGTGGGGACCTGGCGCCATGGCCATGGCCATCCCGCCTATGGCGGACAAGACCATGGTGCTGTCGCTCGGCGCCCTGCCGGTGTCCTACGCGCTCAGCAGCGTCTCAGCGGTCTCACAGTGCGTGCCGGGAGGACCCGGGCTGGAGGGAGGATGGGGGAACGAATCAGGGTGGTGGCTAGGCCTGGGGGGCGCACCTTCGGCCAGAAGTTCGCTTCCCGCCCGCTGAAGCAAGGGGATGCTGTGGGCTGTGGGGTTCGGGGGGAAAAGATCTGAAGTAGCAGAACCCCATAAGGGAAAGGACTTTGGGACATTTCTGAGCTATTCTAGGGATGCGCCCCGCTCAGGTTCCAAAGTCGCCCAGGGTCAAAGTATTGTCGCAGATAAGGCCCTAGTGACCCAGCTCCTTTGGCACACACGCCCGGTTCCATTGCCTGTCTCAGGCCTAGAGTAACTTTAACCTACGTGCAGTCCTTGTCTTCTATCTCCAGATCCCAGCCCTGGGGGTCCAGTAAGCCAGAAGTCAGATGACCCAAAGGATGAGAGAGGACCTTTAACCATAGGTCTGGCTCCCTGGGCACCAATACCCATCTTTGGGATTCTGAGTGAACCAAGTCCCTCTGGAGTCTTAGTTCTCTTTTCTGTGTAGGTCTCACCCTAGACATGGGCAAGGATTACATGTTCTGTGCAGACTGTCAGATTACTGTACTTGACACTGATGAGGATCATGGGAAGATGTGGGCCTAGAAAGTGTGGGAGAACTGGACAGAATCTTGCTGTGTGACTATGGACAGATGGCTCCACCTCTCTGGGCTTTGGCTATTTGCCCAGCTAGGTTGAGGGAAACCCAGAGACCTGGTTTCTCTTATCTATGCAACTACTAGATGACTTGTCTTATCAGGTTGGTGGGGTAGATCAGGGCAGGGATAGGGTGGCACAGATGTAAGTATTTGGACTTTAGCTGGGAGGAGTTGGGAGTCTCAGAGATTCCTGGAGACCCTCCCCATGAAAGCTGATTTTGGCCACATTGAGGGGGGGGCAGTGAGCTCCATGATTCATCAGACAAATCCAAATGCATAAGCATGAGCTAATGATGGAATAATTGGTACTGACAGAAGGGGATAGAGAAATCAGGGAGGGCTTCTAGGAGGAGTAACATGGATGGGCCTTGAAGGATAAGTAGGAGTTTGCCAAGTAGAAACCATGAGCAAGGCTATACATGGTGGCACAAGCCTTTAATCTCAGCACTTGGAAGGCAGGTGAATCTCTGTGAGATCAAGGCTAGCCTGGTCACATAGTAAGTTCCAGGCCAGCTGAGGCTACAGGGAGACCCTATCTGAACAAAACAAGACAAAAAGAAACCCTGAGTAATAAGTCACTGATGGGAAAGTGAAGTTTTCGGTCTCCTTGGCTGTTGCTTCCTGGATAGCTTCACCTGGAGGAGTGAGGGTGGGGTGAGGCCTCATCCAGGCCTGACCTCCCTGACTTGGTTTCCCCCTCAGCCCCATGTGGGTGGCGCTGATGAGTGCACTGATCCTGGGTCTGCTCTTCATGACCATCTACAGCCTGTCTCACGGGGAGATCACCTATGATCCGCTCTACGCCAGTGAGTCACTAGGAGGTGGTAGGGAGGAGGGCTGCCTGGGCAAGGGCTTCTGTGGTTCTCAGACTTGAGGCTGACCAAGGGCCTCCATCAGACTTTGAGGGGCTCCCATTAAACTGGAGAACTCAGAGAGCGTGGAACACCATTAATTTAGGGAACTTTAAAGGGCCTCCTTTTTCAGACTTGGAACTTCAGCGAGCCCCAACTATGCCCTCCCCTCCCATTAGACTGGGACCCATGAAAAATTAGGCCCTCCCCAGTATTCATGTAGCCCAGGCTGGCCTCAAACTCCTGATTCTCCTGCCTCCAGTGTTGGGATAACAGGGCTACACCACCTCACCCAGATCCAGAACAGGGATTCTAAGGCCTAGAGTGTGTCTCCTTCATCCGACCTGCAGAATGAGCCGCTTCTCCGGCCTGGGTCTGGAGCCTTGCTGGATACCGCTCACCCCTGGCCTGATGTTTCCAGCCCAGCTTTAACCTGAGCTAAAAGCTGGATGTGGTGGCTCAGGTCTGTAATCCCAGCGCTTGGGAAGCTGAGGGAGGTGGGACTTTGAGAAGTTCAGGGCAGACTCAGACCCTGTGTCAAACAAGACCTGAGATTTCATAGGCCCAAACTTGGGTTGTGTTGGCTTTAGCCCCGCCCACACTTGGCCGTAGCCCTGCCCATCCTGCCCACTCCCCCTGCAGTCTTCGTGGTCTTCTCCTTCACCTCGGTGGTGGATCTGGTCATTGCGCTACAGGAAGATGGATACTTGATGGGCTTCATGGAGTTCTACACCAAAGAGGTAGGTGTCGGGGGGTGGGGGCAGGAGGAGGGGTGGTCGCAGACCCACCACGCATGCGCCTGAGCCTCACTCCTGCCCACAGGGTGAACCCTACCTTCGCACGGCACACGGCATTTTCATCTGCTACTGGGACGGCACCGTGCACTACCTTCTCTACCTGGCCATGGCCGGCGCCATCCGCAAAAGGTGAGGGGTAGCGGGATGCGGGGCACCCCGGAAGAGGCAGGTTCCTCTGGTGGGGGTCCTGATCAGTCAGAGATAGCTAGAAGGTTCTGGAGAATGTGGCTGGCTTGAGGCCCACATTCTCTGGTCCATCCACAGTACTTACTAAGCATGCACAAGGCCTTGGGCACTCCAGGTTCCATCTCCAGCATCTGTGGATCATGCAGGAGACCGTAGTTCCATTCCCAGCGCTTGCTGACCAACATGAGGTTCCATCCCAGCACCTCTGCACAGGGGGGAGCATGGGTTCCATCCCAGCTCCAAAAACAAAAACAGAAGAAGGGAGGGAGGGAGGGAGGCGGGGGGGGAGGGGAAGAGAGAGAGAGAGAGGGGGGGAGAGAGAGAGAGAGAGAGAGAGAGAGAGAGAGAGAGAAAGATTGAGGAGGGACATGCTTATTTGGGGGAGATTTACAGATTTACGGTTAATTTTTTCTTATGTTTTTACTGTGTTGCAGTAAATTGATGTCTCTGGGGAAAAAACTGCTGTCAAGTTTTACAATTCTTGGTCCCTTCAGATTTTTACTCTGCTGTCTTCTTTGTAAAGACTTTTT